CTGCTATACAAGTACTCTGCTCTTTTAAGAGAATATTGTACTTAGGAACTCAGCAATAATAGAATAATAGAAATGGAAATAATGTGCAATATTTGTATCGTAACACAAATTTTTATAAACTGCTTCTTTGAGAAAAAAACTATATCTATATATTGTATGACTTACATATGCATAATATATCTATCTATATACATGTAAATTATCTAATGATGCGTAAGTTGTATTTTTTATTCCGCTCCCAGACAATTTCAGATTAAAATAATGTTATAAGACCCGCAGGTACGATATGATAATAATTAACTTAGTTTGCTGATTTTCTGCTAATCACATTGACTGTATTTATTATTACAATACAGGTCATACAATTTTTATAGAGTGATGTTTGGCGTGAAAATATATAAAATTGCATGTATCATCTCTATTATTAATTCTCTTTTAATGTAATGCTTTGCTTTCGTCGGCTAATTTCTGTTTATTGTGTAGTCTTCACTACTAAAATCCTTCTCTTTCCTTCCACGTTACTGTGCATGGCGACTAACATTCTTTTACACAAACATTACATTACAAAAATTGTAGGAACAGAATGTTTCAAGTAAATTCTATCTTACCACAACAATATGAAACATTCGTTTAGGACTATAAAGTAATTTGTTAATGGTATTGTAGATGCTGGACTATTAAACCAACCGATTCAATACAATTTTAACATTATCAAACCAGAACCAATGGACAGGATATCTCCATATGGTGGTTCAGTTGCCAGTGGAAGTTCTTTTCCACTTTATTCCATTGGGTCTACTTCCCCACAGTCACAGTCTACAATGCAAACACTGAGGTAACTCGTTTCGCTCGAATATCTAGAAAATATAATGCTCGTATGATCTGCTCAAGTCTGAATATGTTACACAGGCCTCAAGTATCTCCAGGTCGTACACCATCGCCAATGGAATACAGCCCTTACACCCCACATCTTATTCAACCGCAACTATCGCCTCAATACCAATCAACAAATAGTCATGTAGTACAACAACCGACAACAGGAACACACATACAACAACCATTCCCATACGTACACGATACGTTACAGCCACAACCGCAAGAACAATTGATATTGAACAGAGTAACATCCGGCTATCAAGAATTGCAAACGTTGGACAATGCTGGTAACAATTAATAGCATCCGTTTAGAGCTGTTCGTGTACTGATATCAATTGAAATACTGTTTATACATTTGTAATAAATTCAGCAGGTGGAGTAGACGGGACAGACGTTACCAGTGTTTTAGATATGGACAATCAACATTATAATTTTGACTTAAGTCTGAATCAGCTTGATTCAGCAGAACTCGCTGCTTTTGGTACCGCTCTCTCTGAGAACTTATCCAGTGGATTGTCTATCTCGGATTCCAGTAAGGTATATTTCAATGTTAACCGCTAGTAAATGTGAATTTAACTAATGAAGATGCAGGAGAAACTAAATAGTTATTGTATTTAGCCTGAAACGAGCAAAGGGGCGAACCAAGGGACGAATAATGGAGAAAGCAGTAGCATGACGGACAGTTTTACAAGAATTACTGCAGAACTCTGCACTTTAAACAGCATGTACAAACCGAGACAGGAAGTTGACGATTAAAAAATATGTGTAAATTTTATCAACCTTTGTACCAATGTGAACAACAGAAGTACGTTGTAAAACGTTAGCCAGACATTCTTGTTAGGGAATATATTACAAAAGTGATTAGTATTTAATTGGTTGTGATAGAAACTGCATCACCGATTGTATATTGTTGTAAG